TGGTAACCCTGCTGCCATGACAACTAGGGGCGTGGTCTCTGGTCAGGCGGCCATTGGGGAAGTACTGAGCAGACGAACGGAATGAGCTCAACCACTGAAAGCCACAGAATATTTCACCTCCGAGGAATCTTGCACTCCATTCTTTCTCAGTCCTACTATCGGATTGCAGCTTTTGAACAGATGCTGCAGATGTTTTGTGCTTAGACTCATTGAGATTGAGATTGGAGGTTGTCTGAAAATATCCCAGATCCAAGTTTTTGGCATTTTTACAATGCCTTGGTCATCCTAAGACATTTGGGATTTCTCTAATGCCTGAATGAGTTTTTACTCACAATCAGTTCACAACGATGAGTGAACGTGTGGCCACATTAGACTTTGTGTTCATTTCTTCCATTCATACGCATGCAAATGAGTGAGAGTGTTTGGGGCCAGCTGACAGATGTGTCACTTGTCTTTTCTGCTTTTTTTTTTATTGATTTTGTACATCTTTTAAAAAAAAAATACCTGACAGACTTACAAATTTGGTTTTCTGTGGTGTATTCTACATTGTTATCTCAAATTTCAATGATTTGTCAATCAAAGTAATCAAAGTAATGTTATATAGAGGGCAAACATAGATGATGCTTTGTCAAATTTGCAAAAATGGCTTGTAATGGTCTTTAACACGTCAGTATGAATGAAAACTACAAACCAAGCAATAATGTATGCATCATATGCCATAGTTTTTTTCCAGCAAAAATCACATTTTGTAATAAAAAAAACTTATTATGAACACAAAAAAAATTGAAAAGAAAACTTTTATTTGAAAATATCAATATTTCAATTTTGATACTGAAAATATAAAGAAATATAAAAATGCTTTGTTAAAAATACAAATGTATTCTTCTGTGGTGGGCCAGTGAAAATGTTCAATGGGCAAGTGAAAATCAGAAGTGATGGAATTATTGTTTGAGGCTTATAAGCATAATTTTGGTTTAAGATCAGTGAATTCTGAACGTTTATATTACTGTTCAAAATTTAGAGTTGGTACAATTTTTTATATTTTTGAAAATCTCTTATGCTCACCAAGACTGCATATATTTGATTTAAAAATACAGTAAAATAGTAAGATTGTGAAATATTATTACAAATTAAAAGAATTATTTTCTATGTTAACATTTTATAATAGCATAGATAATATAATAGCAAAAATCATTACTTCAGTCTTCAGTGTCACACGATTCTTCAGAAATCATTCTAATATGCTGATTTGCTGCTCAATAAACATTTCTTATTATTATGATTGTTGCATTATCAGACAGCTGTTCTGCTTAATATTTTTAAAACAGATGCTATAGAGAGACATCATATCCTGTTTCCTGCATTCTATTTACACTGAAGCCATAGAGTGTGGCATCATATCCTGTCGCCCGCATTTGACACAGGTTCAGTAATTTAGCATGAAATCTAGTGCGACGCACCTTGAGGGAGTGATCAGTGAGCAAGTCATATGTGCGTATGAGTTTTGGGTGTAGTGGGGTGTCTCCGATTTCACAAAGATAATCAAACACAGTATGTGCTGAGCGGATGATACCATTCACCAGTGAAGCAAAACTAAAAGCATTAAGCAACATTGAAATCTGAACCATGAAAGCATCAAATATCATTGTTTCTCACAATACAAAGTTCACACTATTCATTGTTCTCTGCTGGGGTGTGAAATGACTGTCAAAAGGCCATCTTCAAAAGGCTCAGCTGATTCTAACAGTATCAGTCACTTGATGTGATCAGATACAATCAAAAGCTCAAATTAGTGATTCAATCAGATTGTTAAGTGTATACAGAGTCAAGCACAGAAGGAATATCAGGTTGCAAATCTATGACGAAATCCTTATTCAACATGATTCATAACTGACTCTTAACTCTGTGCAGAAAGAATGTGCATTATGAAATTAACAGCTTCATTTCTAATTCACCCCCTTGTTACAAGGCGGCATGAAAACATGCAAGATACCCCCATAATTATTTACAAACACATATGGATGTACACAAGAGCTCAAGAGGAAGGGTTGGTATGTTCACTATGCGACATTAAATTCTGGTTTTCTGTCTGGCTGTCACAAAAAGTGATACTGTCAGTCACCATACCTGCGTGAAAAGAGGAATCTTATAATTTAGCAATGTTCTGGGCAGAGACTTGCAGATTCATAACTCTTGGTTTTGTTTTCATGTTGATTATGAGATAAGGTACAGGGAATGACAGCAAAATGTCCAGGGAGAGTTCAAAACAGAACAGACACACCTGTTTTTACATTTAGAGAATGTTAGAAAACATACTAGTTATGGTACACGTTGTGTTCTTCGTTTAGTGGGGTTCAAGTCAAAAGATGAGACAGAGAGACATTGTTTAATTCTGAGGCGCATTTTCATTCTCTGAGTAGAGAGTGTGAGTCATAGGCACATTGGTTTACAAAAATATCTTAGTTTCAGTGGCATGAATGCTTCCTGCAGGGCTGTCCTTAAGAAACATCAATAAGCCGCTTTCAAAAGCTGGTACAGATGGCTAGAAACAACTTGGAAATTTGATTGGTCCCACATTACTTAAAAATATAGCAGATATACTCTTAAAATAGCAGATATACTCTTAAAACGTAATACATTTGCATGAGAAGCAATAATGTAGTTCTTCATAATAATGTAGGCTTCAGAGAATTTGAGAGAGTATATATTCATTTTATTTTATTAAACCACTGACAAATTATTTTGCTTTGTTTTTTATATTTAATAATAATAATAATTATATTAAGTATTATTATTATTTTAACATTTATGTATTTATAAATAAGACTTGTTTCATTTTATTATAGTTCAACTCACTGACAAATAAATTTTTTTGTTTTGTTTTTTTTATTATTATTTAATAAATATTAATAATTATTATTTTAACATTTATAGGAAAATATACTTAAAATGATACATTTGCTTGAGAAGCAATAATGTAGTTTACTAAATAAGACTTCAGAGAATTTCAGAGAATATATATTAATTTTATTTTACATAAACCACTGACAAAATATTTTGTTTTGTTTTTTAATGTAATAAATTATTATTATTATTATCATCATTATTATTATTTTAATTATTCAATAAATATTCATTATCATTATTATTATTATTATGTTAACATTTATGGGAAAGTATACTTTATTTATTTATTATTTGTTTGTTTGTTGTTTATCAATGTGTATCTAATTTTGTAAAGTCACATTCCATAAATGAATGGGACTTGATTGCATTGTTTTTTTCAGGCAGCTATATGATAATAAATAAATTATCTTGTTAATTGTTTGGATATTGTGAAGTCCAAAGTTATTATCAGGGCATGCCTGAAAAGAAAGCCGTATTATATCTGCATGGAAAAAGTGAGCCTGATCAGGTTTTCCCTGGTTCCTCTCAAAAACAATAGCCGGGATTCTGTAATCTTAGGAAAGGCCAGCGCCTTAAGATATTATGAATCCATGACTGAAAACCAGTGAAGAAGATTAAAGCAGAGGGGATCTCAAGATACTGATGATTAAATCAGTAACTTTTTCTAAATGCTCTTGTATTATCCAATAATGAAAGACAGCAGACACTCAGAGAGAAAACATTTGACACGTGCACTACAGCAGGTCATCCCGTTTCTGTGGAAACTGTTTAGGTGCTTGAAGTTGTTATCTGACTTAATTAACATTATTGACTTCAATAATGAGGCCTTTTAAATGTAACAGCACATGCCACGCCTGATGACCCAACCGTAGAAACACCAGGTGATGAAATCAGAGTGGTCAATGGAAAGGACTGTGCTGGAGGAACAGGTCATGGCAGATACCGTTTTGTTTGAGCAGATACTGTAATGCTTAGAGAACTAACAAAAATTCCAGTGCATTGGTGTGGTCATCAAGAAGCATCTTGAATATGCAATGGCTAAAACAGATACAGTGCAAATCTTTAAACGTGCCATTTTAAACCCATTACATCTCTTATACTTTAACAAACCAAAACTGGAAAAGGCCTAAACTTGTCTAATAGCTTTTCCAAAACTCAAGCTTAATACAGAGCCTTCATCACCTTTAAGCCATGTTTTAAAACACAAGCCTCTGGTTATTTAACTATAAACCCAGAAAGACCATAAACCTGGTTAACTTTAGGAGGTCTCTGGATTCCAGAGGGCTTCAGGACCTTAGGGATAGATTTTAAAACCTGATGAGTTTTGCCTGCCGTAACCTGAGAAACTTTTGGTAGCCTCCATGATGTAAGACAGTTTCAACTAGGTTTGCTTATAGTCCTGTCTGTCAAGTTATGATTTGCAAAGTATTACAGTATGTAACATACTTAATTTCCACCATGTTTAGCTCAACTGTACAGAGTCTTTGAGTTACCATATAATATTTGTATGGATTTAAATGTTACATCACTGGAGATAATGCTAAAGCACAGCTGGACATCACATGCTCCACTTTGTGTAGCTTCCAGTGCTCAGAGATAAAGCATGTCATCTGTCAGAGGTTTAAAGTGAAATTTAACACCTTCCAGATGTCTTATTTGTATAGGCAAATCCATAGTTGCATGCTATTTCAGTGTGACACATTGGCTTGTAGATTACGTTGCAGCATTAGAGTACTTTAGTTCCAGTGTTTAATATTATTGACATAGTATTATGTTCACACTCTGTATTTTGGCTTTTATCAAAGCGATCCATTCTTTGACAGAACAAATAATATATAGGCTATCAACCAGAATTATCCAAAGAAAAGGGGAAACTACAGAAGCCATTTTATTGTTTCAACCATTAACATTTCCAGAAAAATATTTGTTTCTACTCATATTGAATTACTAAAACATCCATGTACTGGTTAGGCTAGGAATGTAGGGATACGAGTGTTGAATTTCAACCACACCCACCTTCTACACCTAAGCACCGGCCAATCAAAACCTTCTTTTGTCTCCTCCCACTCAGCAGCACATATAGTAGGAGGCAGAGTCTGCTGTTCTCTATCTGCTCGAGTTTCTCCAGCACAGCAGACAAGGCTCATATCTGCTGCTCTCGCTCCCCCTGCTCCAGGTCATTCTCTACCAGCACAAGACAGAATACACATCAGCAGGATGTCGTTCACCAAGAAAACCAGCTACACTGTGAAGTCCTCTTCCTCTGGATCTGTCCCACGCAGCTTCAGCAGTATGTCCTATTCCGGCCCCAGCGCCAGCCGGCAGAGCTACAGTGTGCGCAGCTCCTATGGAGGTGCCAACCGTGGCATGGGAGCTGGAATGGGAGGTGGTAGCTTCATCAGCAGCTCTTCAGCCTACGGTCTTGGCATGGGAATGGGCATGGGCATGGGTACCGGTGTCATAGCACCCATCCAAGCGGTCACCGTCAACAAGAGCCTCCTGGCACCTCTGAACCTGGAGATCGACCCCAACATCCAGGTTGTCCGCACCCAGGAGAAAGATCAAATCAAGACCCTCAACAACCGTTTCGCTTCCTTCATTGATAAGGTGGGTTTAAAGCTTCTTTCTTTGCAGTTTTATTAGTCAGAGAGTTTCCAGGTATGAGTCAAACTAAAGGTCGTAATAACCCAGAAAAATGCCCCAAGACTGCATGTTCTTGCTTAAAACATCTCTAGAAGTTAATCTAGTGTGGTACAGAAAATATATGTGGGATTGGATACGTTCTCATCAAAGAGAAAGAAGCTAGACTTATGGAAAGTGGAGAAAAGGGTGTGTACATGGTCAGACTGTGAGGGTTTTTCATTTGAATGGGATGCCACGAGGATCTTCTGAAGCCCTTGTGGAGAGTCCACACCCAAATGAGGACATTGAAATCTTTTATCTGCATATCAACATTGTTAAATTTTTACAAACTATTACATTTCCAAACAAAAATGATCCATATTAGAAGAAAAGACGGTCACATACCTACATAGTTAATATTTAATTTGAAGAACTGGGGTCATGTTCTGGATAGGTTACGTAACAGCGTTCAACAAGAGGAGGAAATATTCTGCCACACTTTTAAGCCTTTGAGTCTTTGTGCCCTTCCTCTTAACTATAATAGTCTACTTTGCATTACATTATTTGATTAAAACACACTGTTTTGAATGAGAAAGCTGATTAGTAAAGTCAGCTGGCTCAGTGACACCTTTACTGTAATCTAATTGTGTGTACAATGTTCACCTTGAGCTGTTAAAAGTCTTATCACTTAATTATTTGCTCTCCGCCCACCATTTACACATTCTTTTAAGAGACTCCAGCAGATCTGGTCTCTTCCTGCCGTCCCTTGAATATTAACTGCATAGATAGTCCCATCTCCAAAAAGTAAATTCCACAGGATAAACACAGCTCTAGTCACCCTTCCTGATGTCTTACTGTAATATGCGTTACAATTTCCAAGGGCATAAAGCATTACAAACTGAAAACATGTGCATTTCTCGTTATTTAAGGAAAACAGTGCTTTCCTTTGTGAAGACTGTGAACCACAAGCAATATGTTGGCATATGGTCTCACTTCTGTGAGCTGGCGCAGAACCATGATTCCAAAATGACTTTGCAGCATCGGTCTGGGGGCGTTGCTCTCTGAAGCTGCACTTACTGCCAAGTATGGTTTTCATTTGTGCCTCGATTGAGACAAAACCTCTATTCTAATCTTGCCAATGTAGGTACGTTTCCTGGAGCAGCAAAACAAGATGCTGGAGACAAAATGGAGCCTCCTTCAGAACCAGACAGCCACACGCTCCAACATCGACGCCATGTTCGAGGCCTACGTCGCCAACCTGCGCAGACAGCTCGACAGCCTTGGCAATGACAAAATGAAGCTGGAGGCTGACCTGCACAACATGCAAGGCCTTGTTGAGGACTTCAAAAACAAGTACAATGGCTTTCACAAAATCCTCATTTTAATTTGGCTGGACGTTTGGTCTGGGGGATGGGCAGTGCCCAAATATTGTCAAAGGAGGCTTTTGTGGTGCACTTAAGTGTTCCCAGAATAAATGAGGCTCTATAAATTCAAATTGAGGGAAAACATGTTTTAAAGGTCTTATGGGAGTAAACTCAATTCATTATCCAACATGACTTATGTAACTGATACAGAAACTGCATGGTTGCTCTAGTCACTCCCTGATATACCTATTGTCCAACCTTTTTGAAATTTGAATTATATTATAAGCATTTCAGTGATATACATAATATCCCATGGGAAAAAAAAAATTCTGTGCCTCAATTAAATGAGCGTCAGCATGAGTCAGATAGATTACAGCTATTTAACAAACATCTACGCAGCATCTTTCATGGATCTCTAAACCATTTCGATGGCCCAATTAAGGCTAAGACCCATGGGAGACACAGAACTGAATCCAGAAAAACCTGATAAGCGTTTCTCACTAAAAAAAGATGGAGCATTGCTGCCCCCTAGTGTACAAAAACCATTTATAAACAATGAGTTTAACCAATGTCATTTTCTTTACTTCTCTTCAGGTATGAGGATGAGATCAACAAGCGCACAGAGTGTGAGAATGAGTTTGTGCTCATTAAGAAGGTTTGTAGATTGTCTTTTACTACTCATGACTACTTACTTGCTTACTTTAATCTTAAATGATGATTGAATTATGTTTGCTTATCGTAGGATGTCGATGAGGCCTACATGAATAAGGTTGAGCTGGAGGCCAAACTGGAAAGCCTCACTGACGAGATCAACTTCCTCAGGCAGATCTTTGAGGAGGTAAATTACAGCTAGAGATTCCCACCAAACATACAGTTTATTCACTTATGACAAAACGCATTTGGATAATGTCGTGATCTCTCGTTGTGAACTTGTAGGAGATCCGTGAGCTGCAGTCTCAGATCAAGGACACCTCAGTCGTTGTGGAGATGGACAACAGCAGGAATCTCGATATGGACGCCATCGTCGCTGAGGTCCGCGCTCAGTACGAAGACATCGCTAACCGAAGCCGCGCTGAGGCGGAGATGTGGTACAAGTCCAAGGTGTGTAATGAGTATCATCCAAACTGCAAGTCTTTATTATCTAGTTGTTCATTGAGTTGAGTGAGATATTAAATCTTACACATCATATGTTCTGTTTCCCAGTACGAGGAGATGCAGACATCTGCAAACAAATACGGTGATGACCTTAGATCAACAAAGACAGAGATCGCTGATCTTACCCGCATGATTCAGAGACTGCAGTCCGAGATCGATGCTGTGAAAGGACAGGTATGCAACTATGTAGAATGTACAAGTGTGTTTTGTAAGGTAACAGACATTAGGACTAAAACGAAGCACAAATATTTCTCATTTCAATAGCGCGCCAATCTGGAGAACCAGATCGCAGAGGCAGAGGAACGTGGCGAGTTGGCCATGAGAGATGCCAAGGGCCGCATTAAGGACCTGGAAGATGCCCTGCAGAGAGCCAAGCAGGACATGGCCCGCCAGATTAGAGAATATCAGGACCTGATGAACGTCAAACTCGCCCTGGACATTGAGATCGCCACATACAGGAAGCTCCTGGAGGGAGAGGAGGACAGGTGAGTCAATGAAATGCATGCTTGCTGTGAGACCTAGTACTCTAATTTTGAGATGAAGTTCAGATTTCTCATTCTGCGCAGGAGTCTCATTACTTCTTGTTCACTCTTTCCAACAGACTAGCAACTGGAATCAAGGCCATCAATATCTCAAAACAGAGCAGTAAGTTTGACTCTTTATTACAGAGAACCCCACTGAAAAGCCTAGCATGGGATGCTCTTGTATCATGGACATTTCGTGCTGATGTTTTCAGGGTTCTTTCTTCACATGACTATATGAAATGCAGGAGATTCTCATCTAACTTCTTCATGTTTCTGTCCCGATAGCGAGTTATAGCGCTTATCCCCTGGAAAGTGCAGGCAGTGGCTACAGCAGCCACTCTAGTTATTCCAGCGGCTACGGTGGCGGCTACGGTGGCGGCTACAGCTCTGGCGGCTACAGCTCTGGTGGCGGCTACAGTTCTGGTGGTGGCTACAGCTCTGGTGGCGGCTACAGCTCTGGCAGCGGCTACGGTGACACCGTCTCTCAGACCAAGAAGAGCGTTGTGATCAAGATGATTGAGACCAAGGATGGCAAAGTTGTGTCTGAGTCCTCTGAGGTCGTCCAAGATTGAGCGAGTCCCCTTCCCCGATTCTGTCCTCTAAACCTCACGCCTCTTATGCATTCCTGACCTTCCCTCTCAAGAGTTATGGCTGTGGCAGGTCCAAGGCACTAGACAGTTATGCAGTCATAAACCAGGTTGTAAAGCAATAAACCATTCACACTGACCAAAGAATTCCAGAGGGACCAAATACTCTCACTGCTCTTGTCATGCCTTAATCCACATCACTAAAAACTCACACCCTCAGGCCACTGCACAACAATACTGTCTTCAGATCTTACCTTGCACAACATGGCCACATGTGTAGGCTGGACAATCCTCGATGTGCCACTAACATGAGCTAGCCATTTAGCTGAATTGCTCAACATGCTAAGAAACTGATTTCCACATTAACTATGAAGGGATATGTTTGTGTTTGTGCTAAATTACTAGCATGTTAGTGGTAGATCCATGTGGTTTGCCTATTTAGTAGAGAATGTCATTTCATTGTACTCTGGTAATTAAGAGAGATGTTGCCCATTGTGTATCCTGTTTTCTGAGGTGCTGTTTTTGCTACCAAAATAAAGTGTTTACCTAAAACTTGTCATCGTGTTTTTTTTTTTTCGTGTTAACTAACTAGCCTCTCTACAAAACCCACAACCTGCAAAGACATGTCAGAAAGCGAAGGGCTCTCGGTTTGATAGGGTTAGCAATTTAGCATGGTTCAGCAGATTACTCTACACCATCGAGACAAAATATTTCTGAAATAATTTTAACAAGCAGTCAATACCATTCTGAATAAGTAAAAAGGGTTGTGTGGTTTTCCGGGGTAAAAAATGCTTACAACAACTCTTAAGTATTTACATTGTCTTTCTGCTGGATGAGGGCACGTTGTACACGTGTTCTTGTTTTAAAAGAAACTGAATCGATTCCCAATGCGTTCCTGACCACTAGAGGTTAATGGTGGAACTGCATGGTGCTTGTGAGTTGAAATGCATACTATTTCAAATAAAATTAGTTAAAACAAGCAAAAATATAACCTTTTTCTGTCATCTTATACAAGATGTGTTATTCAGTATATTTATTGGAAGGTTAGTTAGCCTACTTGTGTAAAGTAATTCAAATCATAGTGGTTCAACTGGCAACAAATGTGGGGAAACCCTGGACAACTGCGTCTGCGTGCCACCCATTTTTCAGTTAGCTCAGCAATGTCTCCTCTTACTCATGCTTGATTTTGACTTTGTGCTGTCTGACTCAAATAATGACTTGCTATTACAGTATATTTCCAGGAAAGGAGATAGGCCTACATTTTGGCAAGAGAGCATCTGATTAAAATGTCTAAAGTAAAAAAAGAATTCAGTTGTTACATTTGGAAATCATTTTAAAATTGTCTATCAAAGATTCTGCTACTAAAATAAGACTCACATTAAATTTGCTTATTTTTCGAACAGTGTAATAAACTTTGAGAATCCTTATTATATGTACAGTATGTGTGTGTGTGTGTGTGTGTGTGTGTGTGTGAATATATATATATATATATATACACACACATTATTAAATATATAAACATATCTACACATAAATTATACATTTAAATATTTTAAGAAATAATTTCATTTTTACAATGATAATTTTAAACATTCCATTTTAAAAATATAACATGATTTAAATATACAATCTTATGTATATATTTATATTTTGTGTGTTCATATATACACACATATATATATATGAATATATTATGTATATATTTCAAGAATTCATGGAATTTTAAACACAAAATATGAATATACACAATTTAATTTAACATATATTTTTAAAATGGAATATTGAAAAGAATTATTTAAATAATTGTGGTAATATACCAAAATTGTGGTAATTTGGTATTACATTTTTGGTGTTGTGATAACTGTAGCAACCTAAGTACTTAAGTAAAAACTATGATTTGCTACTGTATGGTTGCCACTGAAAAAAAATCTAAACAAAATAGCAATCATGCATTGCTTTAAGAAATCTGTAATGATTAAATATTAACTACATAAACTCATTTAAGACTATAGGTGTACTACCTTAACTATTAAATAAAATGTATTATAAAATCAGTTTACATATTAATCAGCTAGCTTACTCAACAGCAAAAGCTAATTCATGTCTAACAATTTAACATAATATAATATAAATTAATACGTTTTTTAAAAGACAATACACACACAAACGATAACGACAATTCTAACATCCTTCCGGGATCACACTATTATGGCCCTGTCCCAAATAGCAACCTAAACCCTCACAGTCTTCCTCTGAGTCCGCACTTCCGTGACGTAATGCCGCTTTGACTGTCGGGTAGAAATCTGCTGCTGAGCTCACCCTGGTGCGGGATCGGCAGAAGTGCGGATGGAGGGCTCATAACGGCCGCAAAGAGGGTGCTCGCGAGCACCCTTTTTAACGCTAAAATGACAAATGGGACACCCTACGGTCTCATGGACTTAACGGACACGCACACGCGGTGGCCATTGTAAGTCCACAAGACCGAAAGTGCACATGAAGTGTTCCATTTGGGACAGAGCCATGGAAACAAGTGATGGGGAGTCGACTCCAAAAGAGTCGATTCATCTACTCTGAATAGCCTGTAGGAGTTGACTCTGGTGAAGGAATCGACTGTCGTTGTTGACTTCATTGTTGTGTCCAATATGACTCGTTCATTCAGTCATCCATATATATAATGCGTGGCAGTTGAGATCACAATCATCAAAGAGTGAATTAAATAAAATTAGGAATTCCGTCCTCACAAAATAAAGTGAGGAATTCAGGTGAAACTAAGTTTTGGGAAGCACTGAAGCTTTCATTTCAACTGTATCATAAAAGGGTTCATTACTCAAATATTTTGTGGACATCTGGTGGTTAAAAGGATGATATGTTTTAAAAGGATGCATATGTTTAAAATAGACAGATCACATATTGTATTTATGAATGTATTTATTGTTTATTTTACTTAGTGCCAATTATAATCACTAAAACAATTACTAATCTATTTCCTTAAAATAATAGGCATTAAATACATTGCGTATGAAGAATCAGAAAAAAATTACCGCATCAAGGTGTGTTGAACTGCAAACCAGATGTACCTGTTTATTTCAATAAATAAATAAGTAAAGCATAGATTCAGTAGTGCAACCGTGACAGAATACGGGACCTAAAAAAGATGGCTGCAGCTGAGGACGCACTGTGGGGTTTGCGGCAGGGCAGTCTGAGTTTGGAGCGATATGTGGAGGGTTTTCTCGAGCTCTCTAACCGGGTGAGCTGGCACGACGCCGCTCTAGGTGCGTGCGTCCTGCTGGGGTTGGATGACGAGATAATCCGCTGCGATCTTCCTACGTGTGATTTTCCCCTGATCGAGCTGATTAATCTCGTGCTGTTCTTAAATGGTTCAGATTTCGAAATTGAAGAAGTAAAGAAACTTCCTAAGCCTCGTCATCCAACTCCCGCGGGAATGCACCACGTCTCCCCAGCTCACCCCATGCCGAGAACCTCCACATACCTCTCCAACGGCTCCTACCGCCTGCCCAACCCCAAATTCCCCGCTGTCCTCCGAAGCTCCACCCTAGTCGTTAGCCCAGTACGATGTCAGGCACACTGGCCACTATGAAGTCAAGCCCGCCGGCTGCTCCGAAGATAGGCCTGCCGGTCACCGCAACGACAAGCCCGCCGGCTGCCCAGTTTCCCCGTAACCCCAAAATTCTGAATAATTTGTAATATATAATTATTCACGGTATTTAGAAGTGCCCACGATAACAATATCGTGCATACTCATTACCGTGATATATCGCATGACCGAATACCGGCACAAGTCTAATTGCAGCTGAGGTCGCGCTGTAGGGTTTGCCTCGAGCTCTCTAACCGGGTGAGCTGGCATGCCGCCGCTCTAGGTGCGTGCTTCCTGCTGGGGTTGGATGACGAGATAATTCGCTGCGATCTTCCTACGTGTGATTTTCCCCTGATCGAGCTGATTAATCTCGTGCTGTTCTTAAATGGTTCAGATTTCGAAATTGAAGAAGTAAAGAAACTTCCTAAGCCTCGTCATCCAACTCCCGCGGGAATGCACCATGAAGAGAAAAGGACTGTTCTCTGCCTTCATCCTAGCCCCAGAGCTCGCTCCAGTGTCGGCTGCAGCCCCTCAGTTTGCTCCAGTGCCAGCTCCTCGTACACGCTTCCCAATCCCTGAGTCTAGCCCAGGGAGGGCTCCAGATCCCCCGTTGAGCCCAGGGAGGGCTCCGGATCCCCCGTTGAGCCCAGGAAGGGCTCCGGATCCCCAGTTAAGCCCAGGGAGGGCTCCGGATCCCCAGTTGAGCCCAGGGAGGGCTCCGGATCCCCAGTTAAGCCCAAGGAGGGCCTCGGAGCCCGCAAGCGTCCCCAAGTATTTTTTTGGGGGGGGGGGGGGGAGGG